CAAACACGTTTGACCTGTGGATCGTTGGCAGTATATGTGGATGATTGAGTGGGCCCGACGCAAATATCCAGATTTTGATGTGATCCTATCTTCCGAGGAAATTCTCTGGACACTAACCCTGTACAAGCGTTTAAACCATTCCACTGTTTACAAGGCCTAGGGTCATGAAGGCTTTGTGTGTATCATGAGACATAACCACCGGTCGGAATGTGTGCGCGCGTATCCATACAAGCCTATGAGTCCAAACTTGACTTTTAAATTCATTCCATGCTACCATTGTGATTTGAGCAGCTCACCCCAGCTTCCGCCTGTCAGGTTTGCGTAAATTTGAGCGACCCGCCACCACAGTTTCGTCATGACTGCTGATTGTTTTTATGTTAGAATCAAGTTTAACGTTATGATAAACAATATCATTTACTTCGACCTCAGAGGAAGTGAATATACACATCTATGATCGCAATATCAGCTTTGCCGATGATTGCTACTTGACCACCACATGATCAGTAGTTGCCTGTACACAATGCGCATTTCTATCCAAGTCCGACGATGCTTTTTCTGGCACCCCTACCTGTTATGATGCGTGACAAATGACACGCGTCACAGGCGTCTCGGTGAAACGTAGTAGTTTTTTCTACGGATTTTTTATCGTTACCTTAACTGTTGTAGCATCCGTGGAACCTTGCATATACCAGAGTTAATGTTCCTTCAGTAAGCCGATACCACACCATTAATTCAAAGACAGCATGGAAACTAGCTGCTATTCAACGGTAAACTTCGCATAAGTAGTCGTTAATTGCTTACTGGTACCCGCTACATCCAGAATTGATCATATACACAATAATGCATCCTAGATCGTTGTGCTTAGTCATCCAAAGTGAGTGCATTGCTACTGAGACGTCTTTTTACACTGGTAATCGGCCTAAGTGTCTAAGCTCCTACGAAGGATAGACAACTTCCAGTTTTCAGGCGAAGAGACGCTGAAGTTCTTAAATATGATGGATATTGAGTTCATACATCCGGCATGCATGCCCTACAAAAATTTACAAAACATGACGCTATTTGGTAAATCATTAGCTTACATACACAAAAGTTGATTTGCAAAACTACCCCCCAAAAAAGCGAGATGTTGCTGAGTCGGGAAGGTTGAATTGTGAATGAGATTTAAATTACCTTGTTATACAAATTTACATGGCGTTTCCAGGAAATAAAATTGACTTTTGCGGCGATTCACACAAAAAACACGCGCAAATAATTTGCTCTGACGAATCCAGTGTCTGTCCTATTCCGAAACCCTTGCAATTGACCAAATTTCAGGCCAAAGAATTCAGATGCACCTATCGGTCTAGCGTATTCGTTTGCTGGAAATAAAGGCTAGCACAATCGATCGCCAGGTGGCATATGGTTGGACCTATTAACAAGGCCACTTTGCGCGGGTCACTTGCGTTTGAACACCAAGATGTGAGTAACCTGGGTAAAAATGTCCACGAGTGGTAGCCAACAAAGTGATCTAAACATCCACATTCCTAGCCGTTTTATCCAACATCAACCCCTCTAGACACACGCCGCAAAAATAGGCCAGTCGTTCTCGTAACTAGTGCGTTTCGTATCGCTACTTACGCACAGCCTCAAGCCTCCAGGCCACTTTCATCTTCCTCGTCACCTTTCCCAGCTTCATTCCTAGACCCCTCTACCGAAACGTGGACCCTGTGCCACGCGTTGTTTAAAACGCCCCGCATATTCCAAATCGGAGCGATGGTGTCAGGTTGCACGTTGTAAGATATATCGACAGCCTTGCATATAATGTCCACCTTCTTCGTTCCTGGGGGTAGCTCAACATCTAGCTCCCAAGGAGTCCAAGCCCAGGCCCGATTGTACTTCTGGCGTTTACCAGACTCGTGCAGGTCAGCTGGTGTCCAGGTCTTCCCACCGTCCACCGATACGTCCACACGAATGATATTACGACCACCTCCACTCCAGGCATACCCCTTCACGGTCACAACAGAGCTGTCGGAAGCGTCATCCACAATATATATAGAGTCATCTTTCGGCTCTGTGATCGCAGACTGAACAGGTAGCTCCTGGATCGAATCACCGGCAAACTTCCAAAAGTCGTCACGAGAGTAGTCCACATTAGGTGGAAAGCCTTTGTAGTCGCGTTGCTGCCAAAAGCTAGGGCTTTCCTCGCTCGATAGCACAATGCGATGCACAAACTTCACGTTACGAGCACCTACCGTGCCTGGGACGATAGCACGAAGAGGATAGCCGTGGTCGCGCGGAATAGGTTCGCCATTCATCTCAAAGGCAAGCAGCACATCCTTCCTCGGATCCAACGCAGTCGAAATAGGAATCGATGCGCCATAGCAATTGCCCTCAGTGTCCACATCCAGGCCCTCAAATTGCACGTGTTGAATCACCAACTGGTCATCGCCATCGCCTTTTCCGTCACCCTCACACGGTCCGCTTGCTGCATCTTCGTCCGTCACGCCAACACTCGCGAGTACGTCCGCAAGCAGCACTCCCGTCCACTTTGCCGTCGACAAGGCTGTGGTGTCCCAGCTCAGCCCATTCACCTGCTTCACTCGCGACATCTCGGCCCGTCGATTGCCAGCACATTGAACTGTCGTTGTCACCGTGTGATGTTTGAACCTGCTTTTCAACTCGTCCAACGTGAATTCCACCGTCGAGGTTTTATCCGAGACTCCTACCCCTGCAATCTTAAGTGTAAATGTATCCGTGTCAACTTCTGGGACCGGTAAATGGTTCCGTACAAAAAACAAGTCATTTGGCGTCAGAAACGACTCCATCAAGAGCTCCGGGGGCGGCTCTGCATTAAACGGCATGCTCGAGTTCACCTTCAGCGCCGGGTGGCGCACAGGGTCGCGACTATACGGCCCATCACCGTATTGTTGTTTCCGTGCGGCCTCCAGCGTGGCCACGTCGTCCGCGTGGAGATTCCCCACGCGCAACGTCTCGAGGACCTTGTGCACGTCCGCGTGATTGTGCGCCGCATAGAGCTGCCAGAACGGCTCAATGGACTTGCCAGCCGCTAGAAGGATCTTCGTGCCGCCGGGATGAGACGCAACGAACGGCGTGATGTTGTACACACCGTGCTTGTAGACGACCCACGTGCTGCCGCTCTGACTCGCGTCCGTGTGCTGCTGCACTTCACTAAGTGAGTACGTCGGGAGGTCCGTGCGCACGTGACCAGCAATAGCAGCAGGAAGGGGTGGGGTTTCACTTGCCTCGTCTATGTCGAGGTTTTTTATTGGTTCTTGTCTACTGTATGGAGTTGTCCACAAGGCCAAAGTCGTGGCAGCCGCAGCAGCGGCTGCAGCAGCGCATACGGCATATTGAGGATGACAGAATGCACGATGTGATCGCGTGCCCGTAGACCCTGGCGGGGGAAATTGCCGCACGCACGACAAGTGGCCGAGCGATGCGACGCAGCAGCGCGGAATGGACGGGCATTTGTAAAAAGGGGAATGCGGGACAGTTTGTGTGGTCCACGTACAACCACTAGGTTTCCCTGACCATCACTCGTCGAGTCCGATGCGCACTCACCACATTCGAAATGGCAACGTGGATGACACTTGCTGTCGCCTCGAGCGCCACGAGCGTCGGCTTGGCGCTCTACGTACTCCACCTGCGCGCTTCGCTGCGCGAAGCAGCGACACGCAACGACACGCTCTGGACAGCAGAGGATCTCGTTGCCGCGCGTCGCAGTATCTTCCCAATGGACTACGACCACGACCGCCGCGTGCCCCGTGCCGTGTTGGACAAGATGTTGGAGGGCGCGAACTGGGCGCCCACTCACGGCCGGACAGAGCCGTGGCGCTTTGTCGTGTTTGCTTCGTTACCCAAGCGCCAGGAGCTCGGGGAGTTCTTAGCGAGTGTTTATCGAACGACTGTCCCGTCTCAGAAAGTACTTGACTCAAAGTATAGGAAACTCGTAAATAACTGCACAACGTCGTCGTATGTGGTCGCCATTTGTCTTAAACGACAGAAAAGCCGAAAAATTCCCGAATGGGAAGAACTGTGTGCTGTGGCTTGTGCCGTGCAGAACATGCACTTGGTGGCCACGGCACACGGCGTGGGCGCGTACTGGAGCTCGGGGGCCATTAGCACCGAGTCACAGGAAATGAAAGAATACCTGCAATTAAGCGAGGCCGACAAGTGTTTGGGACTCTTTTACGTGGGTGCACCGAACCCACGTGCGGTGATTGCCAAGGGCGTGCGCAAACCGATTGAGGAGAAAGTCAGCTGGCGTGAGTAATACCCTCGTTTCGCGTGAGGGAAGCGTAGGAGGAACGTCGCTTGCTTCGGAGAATAGCATGCTTCCGTGTGGTAGTGAACTGCCCATTCAGTAGCATCGTTTATATTGCATGCTGAAGAAAGAGCACTATTTCATTGTATAATTGTTGTGTTGTAAGAGATGTTAGCGATGTAGAACGGCACGTATTGACGTTGTGTCTTGTGGAGAGCGGCACTTGCGGAACGACACAAATATCATGCTTGTAACGGGGTGAATCGTTACATAACAATTTATAAGAAATTGTTAATAGAATATAACTATAAGAGTTATATTCTCAGAATATTGTCATAAGGACAAATATTCTGTAGCACTTACAAGTAGTTCCTAATTGGTTGATATAGGCCATTATATCAACCAACGAAGACGCGCCACGACAGACGCACGCAATGAGTGGTGAGCAGATAACTGATTTACACATTTGTATTTCGGCATAGTTAGATGAAGATAAATAGTGATTTATTGCAGACATTAACTATACTAAATACAGTTCTACTTTTTACTTTTACCAAGTACTCGCTTCTTCTTACCGTCTTCCTCTGCACTTACCAGTGTACGTGAAGTTTCGAGGCACCGCCTTATTCTGTCATCAGAATAAGTAGCTTGTACTGTCACCAGTACAAGCTTCAGGGTGCCCCGTTACACCTGGTAGCACTTCGTAGTCCGTCCAAGGACCGCGTTCACATCCGACATGAATATGTTGGATGATGAAGATGACCAAAGCTTTCACGCTACGCGTGACGGCTACTCCCATTTGAGCGATGTCGAATGGGATGCGGTTGAATGGATGGGTTCAACCATGGGCATCCATGCTGTTAGCGTCATGCTAGAGGCTCTCAATAGAGATGCCCAACATGCTACTATCGCCAAGTTCATTCAAAATGAACTTGACTTTGAACGCGAGAAAGTAGCCTTGCTTCACCAACAAGGTTCTCAACAAGCAGAGTTGTTGAGAGAACAGGGTGCTCAACAGTTTGAACTGTTGAGACAGCAGCAGGCTGCTGCTGGCGGGTCGATGCACTCGCGTCGATCCGAGACTTTGAAGATTGACATCTCAAAGTATAGGGGGTCGAAGAGGACTCCCTCTTGAGATGGCTCGTCGAATTGGATGACGCCATAAGGGCGCGTCGCATCGACGACGGGGATATGCAAGTTGCATTTGCCCAGTCAAATCTGGCAGGACGTGCCAAGACTTGGGCACTGGGGCTCAAGTTGCACAACCCATATGCGTTTGGGTCGTTGGAAGTCTTCAAGTCGCGGCTCAGACAAACGTTTGAACCGCCTAGAGCTGAGTTCAGGGCTCGAACCGACCTCTTGAAGCTCAAACATGGTAAGCGTGATGTGCACGCTTACGCGCAACATATACGACATCTCACGAGTGGTATAAGCTCCAACCCGGTTGATGAACACACGTTGGTTTCGGTGTTCATGCAGGGTCTTGCGGATGGTCCCGTCAAGACTCACCTGTTCCGACTTGACCTAGATTCACTAGAACAAGCCATTTCCATTGCGGATCAGGAAGACTTCAGTCTGAGACAGGCTCGCGCCAGCTCGACAACATATCGTCAACCGAGACGATATGACAGCGGAGGTCCAGAGCCGATGGAACTCTGTCATGTAGAGAGCGAGAAGGCTCGCTCTACAGACTACAAGAAGTTGCAGAAATGCAACAGATGTCAAAAGACAGGACACTACACTTACGAGTGCAGTGCCCCTCGTCCAGTGTCTCGCGACACTGGGCGTAGTGACCGTCCACCCATGAGAAAGGGACAGGGACGAGGGTCCGCAGTTGGTGCAAAGACGCAACAACGGGATGGACCGTCAAAAACGGACAGGATCAGTAGGTGCGGAGCACCCTACTGGTCTAGCAACGTCAAGAGAATTTGTAGGCCTCTTGATGAAGGTTGCTCCCAACACACAAACGTTGTGCGTTGCTGCTCAAGGTAATGAGATCTCACTCATTACCTTGAAACTCGAAGTGACGAATAAGTTGTCCCTTCGAGCTCTAGTCGATTGTGGGGCGTCCAACAATTTTGTGCGACGCCAATCTCTAGAATATGTTCACTTCAAGTTCAGTGAATGTGACACACCTCCTACGAGGATGACGGTACGTCTTGCGACAGGCGCATCCGTAACCGTCATGAAGCGTATAGTAAAGATCCACTATACGCTAGAAGATACCCAATATGACGATGACTTTATCGTGTTGGATTTGGATGACAAATTTGATGTCATCCTTGGAATACCGTGGCTCAGAAGGTACGAACCACGAGTAAACTGGCAACATCGGACAGTAACGATGCCTGCCGCTTGTTCATCAGATGGCCATCCGATGAACGTTTTGGAGCGTCCACAAGCGTGTGGATGTACTACGAGTGAGTGAGATGGCCTCACTTGTGGTACGGTCGTTAGTACGACTACACAAAACCTTAGTGTACCAAACGGTTACACTTCGGAGCAAAGTTCCGGCGGCTGTGAGGAAACACAGGCTGCGCCGAAGGTCCACCACTCGAATAAGTCGGGTGGACTGGGACAAAGATGTATCCCTAGCGGGGAACATCTAGAAGAGAAACAATCGATCGCTCAGGTTAAGCGAAACGATAATCCTAGATCGACTGGAGAGTCTTTCGTAGAGTATCTCGCTGTGGTTGCGCAACCCCAGCTAGAGGAAGTAAAGGGAATAAGTCCCGATATAACAAATACGGCGGAAATAAGTTCCCCGAAACCCGCGGGAATAAGTCCCCGGGAAGCCGAAGGAATAAGTCCTTCGAAGCCTGAGGGAATAAGTCCCCAGGAAATGACAGAGACATTGAATGTCATAGTCAATAACGGATCAAGTGTAGGCGCTTATACACTTGATTTGATTGCGCCTCCGAAGTTAACTTCGGAGATCACTCAGTTGCCAACGCTCGAACATAAAAGGTTCTTGCGTGATCTGCGTAGCGGCAAAGTCAAGCAGATCTACATACTCGTCGCTGACGACGAGTGTGTAACCGACATAAGGTCAGCAACAGTGTTCACTGAGAACGAGAGAGTTCTCAGTAGTTCATCCATGGACGAGAGTGTCCTAGATGAAAAGACACGAATTGAGCGATATGACTCCCAATCGTGGGAATCGCTCAAGACAAATCCTCTCTATGAAGATTTGGTTGAATTCAAGGATGTATTCCCTGAAACTGTTCCGTGCAAATTACCGAAGGATAAAGGTATTCGACACGAGGTCGAGCTTAAACCAGGCTCGAAGTACTGTGTCATGAAGCAGTGGCCACTGCCTCGTGAACAAGTACTTGCGATCGACAAGTTCTTTGCCGATCGTTTAGCAGCGGGCCATGTGAGGGAATCAACTTCCCCACATAGCTCTCCGACCTTCTGTGTGCGAAAAGCAACAGGAGGGTGGCGGATAGTGCACGCGTTCAACAAATTGAACGCTGCAACGGTACCGGCTCAGACGCCGATACCGAGGAAGGACGTAATCATTGATGGTATGTCAAAGAGTACCATCTTTTCGTCCATGGATTTGATGGATGGCTTCTATCAAATCCTAATGCGAGAACGGGATATACCCTATACCGCAGTTAGCACGCCTAGCGGCATGCTCTGGGAATGGCTAGTAATGCCACAAGGGCTTAGTAATGCCCCTGCCACATTCAACAGATGTGATACACATCTGTTGAGACCAGTACGAGAATTTGCGCCGAGTTATTTCGATGACGTATTCATCCATAGTCGAGCTATGGATGGAAAGTCGGACGTTGAGGTTCACAGATACCACGTCCGACAAGTTCTTACAATCATGCGAAAGCATCAATTGTATGCTAACCTCAAGAAGTGTATATTTGCAGCAAGCGAAATACCACTTCTTGGGTGCATCGTTGGTAAGAACGGTGTACGTCCTGATCCCGAAAAGATCAAGGCGATCACCGACTGGCCTGTGCCGGTCGATGTCAAAGGTCTTCGAAAATTCCTTGGGCTAGCGGCGTATTTGCATAAGTATTCACGCAATTACGCCGAGATGACTGTGCACCTCTCTCGTTTGTTGAAAAAGAACGAGAGGTGGTTATGGAACGCTGAATGTCAGCGCTCCTTTGAGGGTATCAAGCAGAGCTTGATACAATCCCCAGTCCTAGCAATAGCCGATCAGGACAGGCCATTTCATGTGGTCTGTGATGCCAGCGATTTCTCAATCGGCTGTGCATTAATGCAGTACGATCTTGAAGGCGTTGAACGCGTCGTCTGCTATCAGTCGCGTCAGCTGCAACCAGCTGAGCGGAACTATCCAGTGCATGACAAGGAACTCCTTGCCATGAAGTATGCACTCGCGAAGTTCAGAGTCTATCTATTAGGAGATAGACCCTTCATTGTTTACACTAACCATGCGTCATTACGCACGGCAGTGAACAGCCCGCACCTTTCACAACGAATGGCGCGGTGGTTGTCATTCTTTGCGGAATACAACTTTACGGTCGAGTACAAACCAGGACGACTTAATGTCGTCGCTGATGCACTCTCACGTCGTCCCGACTTTGAAACAGTCGCGAAACCCAACAGTGAGACAGTCACTGTTGCGGTTATGACGTCCTCAGTCCCATCTACAACGTTGTATGATGATGTGAGGCGGGAATACGCCCAAGATGGTGAAATTGTGGAGTTGTTGACACATCTCTCCCAACCATCTCGAGAATCGTTGAAACGATTGTCGTCTGCGTATCGATCTGATGCAGATCGATACACTACTCGTAACGGTTTACTGTATTATACAGCCGTTTCTGGTGACACACCACGTGTTGTCATTCCAGATGATACTGATCTGCGTTTGCGGATCATGTTCGAGTATCACGATGCTCCTATAGGAGGACATCGTGGCCGAGAGAAAACATATCTCACGGTGAGTCGAGACTTTTACTGGCCCCGCCAGTATCAGTTTGTGCGAAAGTATGTTCGCGCATGCGAAGTCTGCCAACGAGTGAAGTCAATTCATTCACCGCGTGCACCTTTACAGCCTCTACCAGTTCCGGCATAGTGCTGGGAATCCATCTCAATGGATTTCGTCTTCGGTTTACCCAAAGACGCACGCGGGAATACGGGTATTCTCGTATTTGTTGACAGATTCAGCAAAATGGTACACCTTGTGGCTGTACCAGAGGCAATCACGGCAAGTGGCTGTGCTTGTGTATTTATTGAAACCATCTTCCGACTTCATGGGTTGCCCCGTGAACTCGTATCAGACAGAGATCCACGATTCACTGCTGATTTCTGGCGTTCCGTGTTCAAATCGCTCGGAACGCGCTTCAAAATGTCGACATCTGATCATCCAGAGTCAGATGGTCGGACGGAACGTGCCAATCGTGTCCTTGAAGAGATACTTCGAGGATACGTACACTCCTTTAAGAGTTGGAGTGAGTTTTGCCAATGGTAGAGTTTGCCATTAACAACTCGGTGCATGCGTCCACGACACATACACCGTTTTACGTGAATGGCTTGCGCCATCCGCGTGTACCCACCTTACTAGAGTGTAACTCTGGTTTAAGGGGGAGGGACTCGCGCGAGCAAAAACCGATTTGTTTCACGCTCATCACGCTCTGACGAAGAGGTCATTGCGTTTGATGCCGATATCGATAACATCGATATCGAAGAAGATGATGCCAGTGAGAGTGCGGAAGCCCTCACTGAAGAAAAGATTGATGTTGCTGCAGTGCGCTCACAGCGCACTGAAGCTAACGAGTCATCAGATGGGTTCATACTGGCTCGTGAAACGGTAGTCCGTTTTGTGCAAGACTCCATCGCCGAAGCGGTGGATAAGCAAAAGCAAAACGCTGACAAGAAATGGAAGGGCAAACACTCTTTTATTTAATAAAGGTGACTTAGTCCTACTGTCTACGGTTAATATACCAAAGCATGTTGTGACTAACTTGGGTAGCAGTAAACTACTACCCAAGTACATCGGCCCATTTCGTGTATTGCACCGCCTAGGCAATGCATACACGATCGAGTTACCACGTAAGATGCGAACGCATCCCACGTTTTACGTTGGTCGGCTTAAGCCGTACCATCAGTACGCTGCTTCTTCCGATGAAGAACGACCTTGCGCTC